GCCCCGAAGAGACCCCAAGAAACATCCATGAGGAGGACTCTTACCCACAATCCAGGCACGGTGGCGGGATGGGCCGAAGGCCATTTTACATTTTAGCCATCGTGGACCCCACACCGTTTGTCTCTAGTCACATATGTTGTGCACTTTGCGTGGTGCAATAAAAACTGACAACGTTGTGCAATCTGAGCTGTGAAGTCGATGTGTTGCTTTATACGTGGCGTGATCCACGATATGCGATATATGCCGTGCGACCTACGTAGGGCAATCTATGTGGTGCAATCTAGGTTGTGCATTACATGTGGTGCGGTCTACGGTGGTGCAGCCAATGGGAAAGCAACTAATGTTCTGCAACCTACGTTATGTCCTATGTGCAATGCAAAACAACACAATGCAAAACAAGACGCGCAGCAATGCAGAGCAACGGAAACCAATGTCAAACAACACGAAACAATATTCGTGGTGCAATGGAACGGCGGCGACGAGCGGCGACGGCGACAACATAGCCGCCAAACCGACAGACAAGCCCATACGACGGGCGGCGTTGCGGCGGCGACGGGGCTGCGACGGCTACTATATAGCCGCCAAGCCAATGCATAGGCCCGGCTCATTAGAAGAGAAGCAAGAACAACCTCTAAATGCAAACGCTGCTGGATATATATATATATATATATACACATCTGCGCATAAACATTCAACTAAATTCGACAGGTGCATGGAGACCACCCCCGGGGCCGCATGAAGCCAAAGCGGCCCCACAGCGGCCCCAAGAGGGCCCCCGAACGGCCAGAGATGCACGAAGGGCGGCGATGAGGCGGCGACGGGGCGGCGACGGCGACTACATAGCCGCCAGGCCGATGCACAGGCCCAGTTCCGTAGAAGAGAAGCAAGAACAAGCTGTAAAGTGCAAACCTTACTGGAGTAATATATATATATATATATGTATATGCACAAATTTGTATATGGTTTCAAGAAGTTCGACAGGTGCCTGGAGACCACCCCTGGCCCAAAATCGCAGCCAACACCGCAAGAGCTCCCAAAACAACCAAAGACGACTCAACAATCATCCTTGGTGCCCGACATGTCCCCCAAACGACTCCATAGAGCTCCAAGAGGACACCCAAGAGGGCACCATTAAGCAACAACCGTCGCATTCCCTGGCGAAATCATGCATTCTCAGCAGATTCGTCCTTTGCTTTTCGAAGTGTCCAACGACCCCAGGGACCCCCAAGAGCGGCCCAAAGGGGCCCCCAAATGGCTCCAGACGGCCACAGAACGGCCCCAGAGGCGCCCAAGACGGCCTAAGAGTACCTGGGTGGGGCCAACGATGCGGCCCACAACAGCCCAAGCTGGCCCCAAGGCAGCCCAAGAGGCGCCCTATGTGGCCCAAGACGGCCCCAACACGGTCCACGAAGCGCTCTACACAGCCCCAGAAGGCCCCGAGAACCCCCCACGAGGCCCAAAAGAGTACCCCAGGAATTCCCAAACGACTCCCTAAAACGTTTCCCAAGGAAGAGCGGGGACGAGAGGCGAAAGGCCCCTCGCGGCCGCAAAAAAAGAGCTCTGTTTGACGCTCCGGTTGCCCTGGACACCTGTCTCATGAGCGACTACGACGACGATGACGGCGGCGGCGGCGAAGGCCACGCCTTGTCGCTTCGCGGGATCGGCGGCGAGACAGAGAGGATGTGCTGTAACATGTGCAACGACATCTTGGCTCGGATCTTCGCGCCTGGACATCCCAAAACCGCTGCCCGGCTGCGATGCGACGCCGTACCGACGCCTCCGGCGCGGCCCGAGACGGCGCCGCAATCAAACCCGGCTCTCGCGTCCGCCGCGATCCTGACGCGAGTCGTCCAACGCTGCTCTGGAACTTTTTGCTTTCGCGAAGCTCGAACACCTCGGCCCCCGCCTGACCGCATAGGGCGCTACCAGTGGGGGAGCACTAGAAGCTTCAAAGGAACTGCGGCAACAACTGGCAGCCACGTACAATCTAGCGCGCCAAACCAACCTTCGATCCGGTCAATTCCGTGGGCTTAGTCAACGGGTCCATCCACACTAGCACAGACATGTACATACATACATACATACATACATACATACATACATACATACATACATAAATGCATACATACATACATACATACATACATACATACATGCATGCATGCATACATACATGCATGCATACATACATACATGCATACATACATGCATACATACATGCATACACATACATACATACATACATACATACATACATACATGCATGCATACATACATACATACATACATACATACATGCATACACACATACATACATACATACATACATACATACATGCATGCATGCATGCATGCATACATATATACATACATACATATACATTAACATATATATATATATATATGTATACACATCTGCATCGGGACACCCATCAATGACAATCGGGATAAACACCGGACAGCCATCGGGACAACTGTCGAACAACCATCGGGGCAACCGGCGCGAGAGTCATCGGGACAAACCATCGAAACAACCATGGGGGCAACAATCACGACAACCATCGGGACAACCATCGGGACAACCGACAACCGCGGGACAACCGCAAGGTATCATCCGCCATCAGCCGGAGCCGAGGAACATTTGCTCTCTGAAATCGCCCTGGAAGGTTGAGGCGTGGTATAATCAAAATACGAAGACTCCGGATGTGTTGAAGGTAGTCCTCACTTAAACAAAATATGACTTGTCCCTTTTGTTCGGGGGGCCGCTCCTCTTGCCCGCGCCAGCAGCCTCGACTCGCCCGCGCGCGCAGCATCAACACGAAACCGACACTGATTCCCAAAGGGGAATATCTGTTCCTAACTTAGCGGGCGAAGCACGGTATAAAACAAACTTTTCCGCCGTCGGGGACGCCTGCCCCCCAGGCGGCTGGCAAGTTTATACCCATACGGTGCCACGTAGAGGCATAAACTTTCCAGCCGCCCAAGGGGCAGGCGTCCTCGACGGCGGACAGTTTAGCGTATAGCGTTCTTCGCCCGCTAACTATCGATCCCACCCCCCCAGTCCTCCATGCCCTTGCGGTCTGGACGCCGAGGCGCAATCCCATGGACATGCGCGGGTGGCATTGCGCGCAGGGCACCCGCGCAGAGCCGCACTATATGCCCGTGGAGTCGCGGCCGAGGCGTCCAGGACCACGAGGCCGTTACGCAGATGGTTCCCGCCCACGAGGGGCACCGTGTAGGAAAAGGCGGGGGGGTAGTCCAGGGCTGGACCTAAACATTGTTTTTCGTGCTGGTTTCGCATTGTTGTTCGTTTTGCTCTACGTGTTGTCCTATAAATCCTTCCCAAAACGAAAAACAAAACACAGCCGAAGTCCAGCAAAACAGCGTTTAGGTCCAGCCTTGGGGTAGCCCAGGCCGCCGCATGGACGATGCATCGGCAATGCAGCGCGATCCAAAGCCCCCTGTCCTCCATCCCAACGTCGGCGGTGAGCCGCAGGTGCATCGGCGATGCGGCGGGATCTCCCGACCTCATCTGCTGAAGCCTATTTGGGCGGCCTCCAAATCTGGGAAAACAAAGAGGTACCGATACCGCTACCTCCAGACCGCTCCAAAGGCGCGGTCGGGCAAGGATTCCGAAAACGGCCTCCAGACATCGAACACTATTCAGAACAATTCGCTATCATCAACAATTTTCCATCGGCTAAGTCGGAACATGACCACATCAACGTAGGATCGCAACTCCACACATCCCTGGGCTATCGGGCCCCCATCGGCGATCAATGGGCGATTGGGGTCGATGCATCCCTCTGTGAGCCTATCCCTCCCCTAACGCTGCCCCTGACAGAGACCACCTCCTGCACGTGCCGATACTTGTGCTCTGCGTTGCTGGAACCGAAGAACCCAACCACCGAAGACTCCTAAGGACTTCTCGGGATTCCTCAAGACTTCTCAGGATTATTCCAGATTCCTCAGAAGCCCCGAATCATTCAGGACTACGGAGAATTCATCAGGACTCCTCCGGATCCTCCAGCACTCCTACGGACCTCGCAGGAATCTCAAAGATTCTACAAATCCATAATTTCTGTCCGTCGGTCATCATTTCGGCCACGTTGGCAAGACACCTGTCTGCGCCTTTTGCGTTTCACCTCCTGCCGATCGTACCGTGGTCACACACTGGCCTTACCGAGATCGTTGCTTGAAGGTCTCCGCCACCTTTTCCTCCATCCCAAACTGTGGTGAAAAAGGGCCTCCAGTGTTTTTTCGAGTCTCCGAAATTCTCGGGCCCTTAGAATGTTCGTCCTCTGGGGGCAAAGTGTTCGGCCCGAGCAATGTTTTGGACGGTGCCAAGGCCCGCACTGGGCCATTAAGCGCAGGGAAAAGCGAACACACATGAGGCGAGGCTCGTTCGGGTCGCCAGGTCTGCGGAGGATCGTGCCCCGAGGTGGGTTTCCGGGTGCGGGATTGCATGTTCATCTTGGCTGGCGGCGCGCACAGGGGGGTCGGTGAGAGAGTGGCGGCCTGAAGGAGGAGGGCGGGGGCATCTCAAAAATGGCGGCCCAAATCCCAGACTTTGTTGGACTGTCGACCAGGAAACAACTTTGGGGCCCAACTCGAAAATCTGAGTTCCCCTCCTTTTCTGATGCTTTTGCGAACCCGCGTGACACGCACATTAACAGCTAAGACAGGTTACTGCGGTGCACAATGTCTCTGCACAGCTGTCTTTCAGCTGTCTGCTGGGATGTTCGCATCATCTTCGCTGGGAAAGACGCAAGTGACGCAGACGGCAACGGCGTGTCTGTCGACTTCTCCGGCCCCCGTTTGCCCAGGGCGGCCTCTCTTCCTATCACGCCGGGTGGCTTATTCGGAACGCACGGGGGGGAGGAGGAAAAAGGAGGGGGCCAGCTTTTGAGTGGCAGGTTCTTGTGTAGTGGGGGGGGGACCTCGGGGAGTGGGGCCTAGAAATCGTATGCGAGAGTCGAGACGGCGCACGGCGGGCGAGCCTGTACTGGAAGGAGATGCTCAGGTGCAGCCCGAGGCCCTCCTGGACGCGTGCGTGCGTAAGGCCGCGCCGACAGCTGCGCGAAAGGCAACTAGGACGAGAGCGATGGCGACGACCGCGCCGACAGTGCCGACGAGCAACGGTGACGACGACGACGAAGAGGGGCCCCTTATGCCCCAAAAGGCCCCCAGGAAACCCCAAGAGGCCCCCGAGAGGCCCCAAGAGGTTCCCCAAAGGCCGCGAAGATGCCCCCAAGAGGACCAAAAGATATTCCCAAACGGCCTCCAAGAGTGCTCACAACTGCCTCCCAAAAACCTCCGAGGAGGTTCCCGCGATATCCCAACGAGCCTCCAAAAAGCCTCGGACCATAACCCAGGCACTTGTGCTGGATGGGTTGACGGCCACCAGACCAGGGAAGATAGGGAGGACGGAGAAGAGCAGTATCAGATACAAGATTCGTGCGACGATCCCCTCCCCATCCTCCCTCTTGCCCTCGAGGTCAGGCTCACAATCTATCAAACAACATTCAGTCGCACGGAACGTCCGGAGCGCACCGGATCGGCGGCACATGCCAGAGGCTTCTACAACGCGAAGCAGGAAAACGATATGCATGATCACACAAGGGCGCAAATGTTAGACTTTTTTCCCCTCCGTTCACTGTTGCAGGAGGGGGCGGGGATGCGGCGGCGGGTCCGCACGCATACTGTTCGTTACAGTTGGGAAATCATACGGATATATGCATTTGTGTGCGCACACGCACCTGTGTATATGTGTATATATATGTATATAGACAAGACTGGCTGCTTCGAGGTGCCTCATGATCGGCGCGCTGGCGACGGGCGGGGCGCGTGGGAGAAAGAGAGGGAAAATGAGAGAGAAAGGGGGAGAGAGAGGAGGGGGGAGAGAGAGAGGGATAAAGAAAAAGCATACTATATATAATAAACAGAACTGGAGTGAAAGATAGGAAGAGAGAGAGAGAGAGAGACAAAAAAACAAACAGAGAATGAGAGATAACGAGAGAAATAAACAAATCAACAACACACAAATACAGAGAGAGAGGGAGAGAGGGAGAGAGAAGAGAGAGCGAGAGAGAGAGAGAAAGATAACGAAAGATAATGAGAGAGAACAGAAACAGAAAGAGAGAGAGAGAGGGAGGGGGGAGAAAGACAAAACAAAACATAAATAAATAACAACTCCACAAAGGACGAAGGACCCTTGTTCCCGTCAGCCCCATCGCTGTTGCGAATCGACCACCTGTCCCTCATGTTTCCTCTTTATGTTTACTCGTCGTGTGCGAACCCGTCCCTGTATTGAACAATTTTCAAATCTATTACGTGGCCTCCTCCTTGGAGGTTTTTTTTCCAGGAATCTCGCGAGTTTTCTGTTGTTTTCTGGTGGTCTTTGGGCGCCGGTTGGGTTAGAAGCTTTCCCAATCAGCGCTTGCGCTGAAAGGGTCCTAGCAAAGATTAAAAAATTTGGCGAAAATGCCGGGCCGATTTCGGTGGGCGGCCGGGTTCCCGGGTTCCAAGTTCCGGGTTCCTGGGTTCCCGGTTCCGGGCCGATTTCGGTGGGCGGCGGGGTCCCCAGGTCCCCGGGTTCCTGGTCGATTTTCTTATCGATCGGTCTCACAATCGATCTCACTACCCACCTCTCTATCGATCTCACGATCGATCTCACAGTCGATCTCACTATAGAGCGCACGAGCGATCTCACGACCGAATTCACTATCGATCCCATTGAAACGACTTCACTATCGATCTCACGATCGACCTGACAATCGTCCTCAATATCGATTCCACGATCGATCTCACAATCGATCTCACGAATTCCTAACCATGCACGAAGGAGAAGGGAAACCCCCATGATGGTGCAGCAGTCACTCGGACATCGCCTTCGCCGACTAGGCATTCAGTTTTTTTCGCGAACACAAGGACGTCACGAACGCATTCGGAAGCACATCTTTCTCGGCAGTTTCTGAGGCCAATAAAACTATCATGCGAGATTTAGAAGCCAGATTCGGGGAACGACGCTTTCGGCATGCAGCAGTTTGTTCAGATGGAGTAATTTTCGCTCGTCCTAGGGTGGGGGCTTTGCAAGGAGATCCATGTGCAGTGAAAGTGTAAACCAGGGACATGGGCACCGTTTTCCAGGAGGTTCAGGAGCTGTTCGTTGAGTCTGGGGATCCGACTGCCAACTGGTGTATAATAGATATTCCCGACCCTACCTCCCCCATCGAGCTCGACCTCAGCTTCCATAGCTACGTCGACGACGCGACGAAAGTACTCGTATCAGCTGGGGAGGAGGAGGAGGACGTGGGCACGGAGCTGAGCAGCAAATCCATGACATACGAGCACATACTCAGCAAGCACATGCAAGAACATAACTACAAAATCAACCCGACCAAAAACGAAACAGTGGTAGCAGTCTTCGGGGCAGGCAGTAAATATGTACATCAACAGCTTCGGTCAGGTGCATTACCCACCGCGGGCAAGGTCAATGATCGTGCTCGAATGCTTGGTGGGATCCTCCGAGCAGATTCTTCTTTTCAGAGCGAATTGCCTTGCAGACTTTCGGCGGTGGACTCAGGCTACGCTGCTATGGGCAGATACTGGTACCAGCCGGGGATACCGCATACAGAAAAAGTAGCCGTCTTCCTCAGTCGTGTGCTCGGCCCAGCTCTGTCAGGCTTGGAGAGCTTCGTGCCAACAGAGGCACAGTTAGAGAAGCTTCAGACTCGTGTCTTGCTGTACGCGCGCAGGGCCATTAAAGGAGCAGCTACGACCACAGGTGGTGACCATCCCGTCTCCGTCACAAATCAGGATGTATTCCGATTCTGGCGCTTCGCGCCCTTGGAGGTGGAGGCAAGGTCTCGGCGCATTAAGTGGTATCAGGCTTGGGTTTCTGCTCCAGAACTACATGTCTCTGAATGGGGAGCTCTCTTTGGGAACATGCGCATCGAGATCGAAAACCACTTAAGCATCATACATGACCAAGGGACGCTTACCAGTGCGGCCTGCCCGTGGGCCCAGAGGTTTGTCTCGGATATCAACTCGCTCGCCGAATTAGGAGACGACGAACATGAACAAATCGCCGAGTTCGACAACACGCCCCTCAACGTATTTCAAAATGAGGAATGGGTTGAATGGTTTACTCAGTTCGATTCTAAGAAACTCAGGGCTCATTGGCTTAGTGTAAGTATCCCTCCTCCTGGCCATCAAGCTCCCCAGGCCAACATACGTACCCAAGACCAGGAACAACCAGATTGTGACTACAGGTGTACAGTAAGAGGGTGCACGAGCGCATTCCACACACGCAGGCAACCATTAGCACATCTTCAGAACCGTCATGGATTACGAGCAGTACTATCTCGGGCAGTGGTTACTAATCAGTGCTTCGTGTGTGGTTCGATCTTTGAGAGCATCAACAGCACCTACAAACACCTTGTGAGTTCATTCAGGACCGGAATATGCACAGCATCCAGGAGCACAACATACCAGGTTCGTCAAGATGACTCCTCATATTGTTGTCCGTTGTGTCAGGCTCAAGTGCAAGGTACTTCTGAGTTGCAAGTTCATCTACGTTTACATTTCGAGTATCTTCCTTTGGTGGATGATGGAGGTCGAGAAAGCTCCGTCGTGGCTCACGCTCAGCAAGCGCAAGGCGCAGGACGTGGAGGGAACAGACTCATCCACAGGAAAGGACACCAAACTCGCGAAGCTCAAGGACCAGGTCGAGGCCGACACAGCCGGGGGCAAAGTAGGCCCGCTAGCAGCACTCATCACAATCTTGGCGACGCTGTGTCTCAGCAACAGTCGCGAGCTGGCGGAGCTTATCGGCGCCAACTATGTATGCTTCTTGCTCCCAGCGGTCGCGGAGATCGTGACGGTTCTCAAACAAGCAGGAGTCAACTACAACACCATGTGCAAAGACGAGGGCAACGAACACACAAACGGTCCACCATGGTCACACGTGTTCATGGCATTCGTTCACCACATTGTGACCAGCACGGACCTTACGATGCCCGAGATTCCCAAGCAGGTGTTGGCGAACTATTGGAATGTGGTGGTCACCAAATCCAAGGAGGAAGGGCTCTTGATGCTTCAGGCTCACATCAAATTCTTCAGGATCCGCCCTTGCCACTACGACAAGAAGAAGCACGATGCCCCGCAGCAGTACAAGGTCCAGTTCATGGTAGCAACTCAGCAGCAGGTGGTACTGGTACGCGACGCCAAGGACCAGAAGGAGCTGATGACGCTTCACGACTCGATCTGCCAGATCATGTACCATTACAAAGGGACCTACACGCCAGGCAATGCCCCGAGGGGGGCGCTGGAACGCGACGCAGATATTCTCCTCCAGCGCATCGGCATCAGCAACCAGAGCGTGCAGGATCAGATCAAGAGCAGCAAGAGCAAGGGCAAGGGCAAGGGCGACAAACCCAAGGGGGAGAAGGCCGAAGCCGATTTCTGAAAGCCAGGCTTCACGATATAGCGGGCTCGGCGAGACTTCGTGATAGGCTACTGCGAGGTCAACTGAATGATCTGGCTCTAAATAATCTCCAGAGTAGATCCGCCGCCCCCATCTTGAAATATAAAGCAGGGGGTAGATTTGTTTCCATGTCTTATGGTTCTGGGGAAGCGGTCGAAACAGATCTGGAGCTTGAAACCCTGCTTCGGAGGATCGTCAGAGTTCAGACCCTCTCCACCGACCTCCCCCTTTCATCTGTTGAGTCCCCTTCGCCCTTCCCCCTCCTGGCTCCCTCTGCCCCCTCCAATCCTGAAACTCAGGAGTAGCAGGAATACTGTATGATGGCGACCTTCAAGACTCGCCCCTACTTGACTAGCTTGGGGACTGGTGCTTCTGGAGGGCGGCCTAGAGGTCTCCCCCAATGGCCGTCCCTCTTTAAGCCAGTGGTGTCCCCCAGCGAAGCCGCTGGTAGGCGTACATACACGCATCGCAGAGCCATTTAATCCATATAAGCGATCGCTCAAGGCGGTCAATTTTCCCCAGGGCTCCCCAGACACGAAACTATGGCTCGCAAG